ATATATTTTTAGAGCATTTGTCTCTAGAATATTCTTATAATTTTTTTAAAAACAGATACTTATTTAAGCATTGGAGAGTCTTTCACCATCAAATGGGACCTTTTGCAGATACTAATCATAAGCCATATTGGTCTATCAAGCATTAAGTAGAAGTTATTAACTATCTTGGTTGGAAGAATGGATAAGATTGCTAGAACCAATTGATTAACCTATTATCCAACTCAGAAACTCTATTTCTAGGCTAATTGGATTTTTGAGACTTTATTAATGGCCTAATTTTTAAGGAATCACATAATAGGTAGATGGAAATTTTTTTAAAAAAAATCATACGTGTTCCAATAAATTTCTACTAAGATTTTGAAGGAGTCTCCCTTATAACAAAAGGTCTCAAGTTATCGACAAAATCATATTATACTTCTAATTTCATTTCACAACCCGATCCAATCATCCTAGATACAACCCATCTCATCCTTATTAACACAACATATCTTATTCAATAACATCATACAATTCAAGTTTAGACAATAATAACACATCAAAACACTATATAATGTAATTCAAGTGAAGGATTTAAATTTCAACTATAACCATGCATGGTTAAACAAGTACTTAGAATTACATATATATATTAAAGTCATATATCCAAATTTACGGGTTAATATTACGTTTTAAGTTTTAGAAGACAAGTCTCTTAATTTACAAAATAATTACATATCCAAAAGCAAAAGGTGACTAAACTAATATCACTTATGACATGATCCTGAAAGACCTGAAAATAGAAATTAACATATGCATACAAATAAAAAGTAGTGACAACTAATAATAACAACACGTAATAATTTTCATGGCATTTCTTTGATACATAAAATGAGGCATAAATCTTTTTACAATATATTTTTTTTATCTATTACCAATATTTATTTGTCAAGAATAATTTCATCTTTAAAATATCAACATCATCTTTTTATAAATAAATTCTCACTTGATACCAAGATATTCCTCTCTTGGTATCTTTAGCTTATCACATTCTTTTAAAATAATTAATCAATACTTTCTCTTCTATTCTTTAGAAGGTAATTCCCGATACTAATGAATCTCATTAATATCATTAGTCTCTTAATACCGGGTTAGACTAATCAATTTCATTCAAGTGCCAATATCAATATAATTGATTAATATCATTAACTATTCCTATCCCAAAATAATTAATAAATTCTTATCCATATATGGTCTACCATAAAAAATATTGATGTCAAGAACCCTTAACATCATTAGCCTTCTTATTCGAAGTAGCTATTTTCCTTATACACTTCCTTTAGAAATTTTATGGAACACCTATGTTGTACCAAGTTTACATTTTTTAATCAAACATTTATAAGAAATGATTTCGTATCAATTTTTGTATTCTTATCTTTTATATATACATATATTTATATCCATTTATCAAAATAAACACATCATTCATTTTATTTATTTTACTCAATTTAAAATATTTCCCTAATTTTATACCAAATTTATACTCGAGTTTTATACCCTGTTTTTAGGAAACTAGTCAAAAAGCTATCGGTTTCTTCCTAAAACTTGTTTTTAGCATTTTCAAGGCATTTCATAGCACACTAACCAATGCTTCTAGGGCTAGGAAGCAGGACAAATCAACTTGTTGCTACGGACACTCCTACCTAGCAAAAGCTTCAACAACTCATTACTCAGGTGCAACTCCTTACCTAGGCCATATTGATAACCCGAGAGCAAAATCAAACATTGCGACCCTAATAAGTCTAAACACCCTCGACAATACACAATGCTTAACACCAAGGCCACCAACTACACAAGGAGCTCGTACACAATCACACTACCTATAGGAGATTAAATATAATGATATTTATAAAAGTTGCTTAAAGGATCACCCACATTATTGTTGCACTTATACACAGAGCTAACACTCTAAACACACTCCCTTTAGTTATTATGGGATGAACACTAGTCACTATAACTATCGTTTTATGTCAAGCTTTCCAGGTTCTCAAAAGCCCAACAGACAAAGAGTTAGGAAACAATATATGCAGGAGCACACTAAAATAAATAAACATACCTAGGGAAATGTATATAGCCCCCATCAGTGGAGAGTTTCTCTCTTGTCCAAACACATATTAAAAATTCAATTCCTTGAGGATTATGCTTTCATGAATATGAGTTTGGATAACTATTATGACTTGGTCGACCTAATAGAACATGTACAAAATATACACAGTAGCTTGGAGTCAATCATCTAAGACTATGACTCAATATACAAGTTATTCCCTACAAGCTTTAAAGAATCTGCACGTGCTTGGTATAATAACCTAGAACTAAACTTTATTAAAGGTTTCAATGACCTACGTATCAAGCTAGTGGCATACTTTAGCACCAGCATACCTAACAAGAGGGTGAGTTTACACGGGCATTTTAAGGACATTCAATGTGGATATGCTCCTAGTAGACGAATTGATTGAGTCAGTAGCCTTAAAAGCCTTAATAAGAGGAGTAAGAGAACATGCTCTCTGGAGAAAACTTTATGTTTTACCATATAGAAGTTTGTCCAAAGTAAAGCAATTTATGAAAAATCATAAATGGGTTAAAGAGGCTAGTTTACTTCAACATGGACCTCCTTGTTTTTACAAGGATAACCAATGTCAATGATTTTCTAAGCAAAGTAATCATGGTATCCAAAGCCAACATCTTATTGCCACCTCCATGATATGTTTCTTCTTAAAAAGTCTCTCATACCTATCACTCAAACCATCTCAAGAAGTATAATTCTTGATAAGAATGTAGGTTTCTTAAATATGAATGACTTATTCAAAATAACTTTTTATTTTCTCCAAGCGATCTCTAAGGGTGATAACCCCAGCAATCTCCAAGGGATGGATGTAGTTTTCCCAGTGCTATATGCATCACTCTTCAAAGAATGAACGTAGTTTTTCTAATGTTATATACACCACTCTCCAATAGATATATTTGATCTTCCTGGTGTTAAATGCACCAATCTCTATAAGATGGACATAATCTCCCCTATGCTATATACATCACTCTTCAATTGATAGATGTGATTTCCTTAGTACTATATGCATCAATCTTTAATGGATGAAAGTAGTCTCTCCAATGTTATATGCACTACTCTCTAAGTAATAGATGTCATCTCCCTAGTGCTATATGCATCAATCTCTTTAAGATGAATATAGTCTCCTTAATTCTATATGCACCACTCACCAAATAATAAATATAATCTCCCTAATTTTATATGCACCATTCTCTAAAGCATAGAGGTAGTCTCACCCAATACTATGTGCACCCCTTTCTAAGAGATGAACTTAGTCTCTTTAGTACAAATAATAACATCATGTAATCATCACTCTTGGTATAGGTTATTAAGCTCCATGACAATGCTGAGAAAGCTGTAAGCTCCTATTCTCTAAAGAACTTATAATCATATAATAGATTCACCATTTATGGGTTCCACATCTCATGCTCGATGAGTTTAAAGATAAGAGTTCTTCCAAAGTGAGTTGATTTCCTTTGATAGGTTCCCCATGTTTTTCTCTACCCTTCAAGGAAATTATTGAAGTATGATTTCCTTCATGCCCCTTCACATGAGCTCTTTGATATATAACCCAAGGTTTCCACCTTTTTTTTTCACATGATGAAAATTCAAAGAACTCATCATAGTAACCAAATATTTTTACAAGTATTTGCATATCAATATCAGAAAGACTTGGTAGATTATTAATAAACCTATTTTTAACAGGTCTAAAAAACCCTTATGACCCTTCTCTCATGGGCACACTTAAGAGAATGAGCATGCTTTGAGTGAGGGCTTGACAGTATACCAAACCCTGGGCATGTTGGGTCTAGCGCTAGGCAATTCCAAACTTGATTGGGCTTGGTACTATGCCAAACCCTGGGAATGCTGGGTCTGGCGTTAGCCACACCCATACGTTTTATGCTTAGTAGTGTGTCAAGTCAAGCCTTGGGCATACTAGGCTTAACAATATGCCAAGCCCCTAGCATGCCCATGTGAATACGCATCCTTCCTTGAAATGTCCAAGAGAATGATCATTCTCCCTTGGCATGTCTAGGGGAATGAGATTTATGGGTTTGACAAACAAGTCAAATCCAAGGCATTTAGATTTAATAGCCAATCAAATTTAAAGTAACGTAAGTCTAACAAACATATCAGACCCAATGCATTTGGACTTAGTAGTTATTTAAGTCCAAAACAACATGGGTCTAACAAATATGTCAGACCAAAAACACTTGAATTTGGTAGTTAGCTAAGTTAAAGGTAATGATAGAAAATGACAATCCTCAATGGGCATACTCGAGGGAATGACCATCCTCCTTTAGCACGTCTAATGGAATGATCATCATCTTTTAGCATGTCCAACGGAATGACCAACCTATCTTGGATCTAACCTTAGGAAAAAACTCAGCTTCTATTGGATCAGCTACATTTGATGTCTTAGATCATAATCTCCCTACATCTTTTAAGCGTATAAAAGTCCTTCCAATATCCACCATATTCTCATTAAACATTAATATAGATTTAAAAGATATTTATCTCTGATTAAATGTTATCAGGATAAGAGTGCACTCCAAGCCCTCCTTTTCACACAAGAACAAAACTCATGGGCTACAAATATATTATAAGACCTTTAAAATAAAAATTTATAATTTTTATTATTTATTGCATATGTATTTTTGGAGTGTTTATTTCTAGAATATTTTTATATTTTTTTTTAAATATATTTTTTTAGATATCAAGAGTTTTATCTTCATTAAAAAATATTTTTTATATATACTAGTCACAAATTATTAAACCCTAAATATAAATCATCAACTATCTAAATTAATATTAACTATGAAAAATAAATAATATTACTAGAACTAATTAATTAATTATTATTCTATCCAAGTCTTATTTAGATTTTCGAGACTTTAAAGTTTAAACAGCACACAAATGGACTCCGATTTGTTGCTTTTTAAAAATACACTACCATCAAAAACCCATCCTAACCCCCTTCTCCTCCTCTGGCTCTGTGACGCCCGATCCTAAGAAGAATCGCCATGGATGCTGAAGGTGACCCTCCAACAAGATCGCGAACCGAAAGGTCTCTCGCTCCCACTTTCTCGCTGTATTCTGCTTCAATTTTTTTTTTAATTATTCTCGCTTTCATATTTGTCAATAATTTGTTCTTACAATTCATTTCTTTTTCTTGATAATGAATTCGGGCTGTCTTCTTCAGAAGCTCCAAGTCCATGCCACGTATATGACATTGTTTAATTCCTCATGTTGTTTCATGGAAGCAGGCACAAGTGCTTTGCATGCTACAAGCAATTCAAGAAAAAAGAACATCTTGTTGAGCACATGAAGATTTCCTACCACACACCTCATCAGCCTAAATGTGGGGTCTGCCAAAAGCACTGCAAATCTTATGAATCTCTGAGGAATCACCTTACTGGTATCATCATTCTATTCCATGTTCTGATTGCTTTATCTGTTAAAGTTTAGTCCATTTTTTCATGTTTTCCTCCAATTATTTAGGCCCATTATCAAGGGCTAGTTGTTCGAAGACTTTCGCTGCCCAAGGTTGTGATCTCTGCTTGAAACTCTATGATAGCCCCAGTTCTCTTGGCAAGCATAGAGAAATATGCCACCTATGTACGCCTGCTTCCCTTGTAAGTTGTTGATTCGTAAATTCTTATGCAAAAATGGTAACTTGTCTATCTTTTAGTGCTTTTCATTTTATTTATTGTGCATTTTAAATGATTAATTACTAAAAGTCATGTCACCCATTTCCCTTCTTTTTTTTTCACAGGGAACAAAGATATTGCCTTCTGCAGGATCTGTTGATGAAAAGTACACCACCAAAGGTGCAAAAGCCATTGCTATCAACTGTGGATTGGTTGGGGGTGGAACCGATGGATCACTTGACCTTTGCGCAAGGGTGTGTCTGGTTGATGAAGATGAAAATATTATTTTCCATACATATGTTCAACCTCAAAGTGCTGTTACTGATTATAGGTACTTCTGTGTTGACACAATCCTTGGTTTTATTTAAAGAACAATGAGAGGGAGGGGAGGGGAGGGGAGGGGGAATATATTGAAGAAAGTCTTCTTCTTTTTTTAATTGAAACATATACACATGTTTTCAGATACGAAATAACTGGATTAACTGAAGAGCATCTAAGAAATTCGAAGTCTCATAAGGAAGTACAAGACAGAATTCTGGAAATTTTGTACAATGGAGAATCTGCTAGGAGACTAATGTCAGACAGTGGAAAGGCTAGACTGCTTGTGGGTCATGATTTGAAGCGTGGTTTGGATTGCTTGAGGATAAACTATCCTGGTCATTTGCTGAGGTAGATTAAACTCTTCTGATGGTTGGAATTGGAATTTGAGATGGGACATTACAGTTTGTAATAATACCTATGATTCAGGCTTGAAAACATTACTGAGCCGCACCACAGCTTTACAAATCTGACCTTTGAATAATACCACTAATCCGCCATGTAGTCTACTTCTAGGTGAAGCAAATCCTAAAATACTACTAATTGCTGATGGAAGAATGACACTTGGTGGTCATTTTGACGTGTCTTGGAATAAACGAACAAATTTTCATATTATTGAATAGGAGCTTTTTGCTGCACATTGAGTACTGATAATAATTGAAGGTTTGGTAAGTGTTCTTGTGACTTTACTGTTGTTTTGCAACATTTTAGCTTTTCATGGGATGTATCCAAACACATTCTAAATGAACATAAGACCAGATAGTGGCGAGGTTTACCTTGTCTTAAACTCCCTTCCTCATGCTAGGAGTGCCGTAGTGTATCTTCAACTGCTGGCAAATCTCGTCTTGGCATCCATATTAGGAGTGACCCCCCCACAGGCCAAGACAGAACCTTGGGGACTGGCTCAAATTATGGTAGGTAATTGAGAAAACAAGTCAAATAGTTTTTTTCTTCTTGCTCCGGATATCCTGTAATTTGAAATGTAATATTTGAGTAATCCATCACAAATGTTGTGTGCATGTTCTCCTTGTTCTCATCTTTCCTTCTTTTATAGTTACAATGCACTTTGATTTTGATTTGAGCAGGGATACTGCAAAATACCGACCATTGTTGAAAACTAACCTGGTTAGCCACTCGCTCAAGTACCTCACCAAAACATATCTTGGGCAAGTTGCTCTTTCTTTTCTTGTTTCTTTCGTGATGTCTTAATAGTGATTGGATCTTCCGTCCTGCATGTACGATGGCTGAGTCCTTATATGGCTAACTATTTTAATTAGTAACCAATACTTGAACTAGAAATGATGCTTTTGTGTTATCTTGTCTTTTGTTTGTTTGTTTGTTTGTTTTTTCAAGTAAAATACAACTCAGATGTGATTAAAAACTATGCAAATCAATTCCCAAGTTTAAAAGATTTTATTTTTATGACAATTTCATTACACTTGGATTTACAATGCTCGAATGCTGTATTTCTGTAAACATAGTTGGTAACTATTTCTTCCTCAATTCAAACCAGAAAAGACTGGAATTTCTCATCATGTTCGTCAAAGAGAATTTGGGAAAGATGATATCTTCTTTGTGCCTAATATGTTGGTTTTCCAGAACTCAGATACTACTTTCAGCAAACACTGTTTTGAAAGTCATTATTGGTTCACAAATAAGAGGTCATTGTGGAGAGTTTAACAAACATTTAACCTTTTGTTGATCTGTTTTTCTAGTTTTTGGAATGATCACCGTGCACTTCATATTAATGGGCAGTATTTGCTAGTTGAAATTACTCTCTCTGAAGTTTTTTGCCTCACAGGTATGATATCCAGACAGGGGAACATGATCCATACGTAGATTGTGTTTCTGTTATGAGACTGTACAAGAGAATGCGTGCTCAAGATCATCAAGTTAAAGGAATTGGAACTCCAAATTCAGACAGCGGTTTTGAATCCCAGAAAGCAGAGGAACTCGAGAACATGACCCCAGATGAGCTATACCAGATCTCAAAGTCAGACTACAAATGCTGGTGTCTAGATTCAAATATAGCAGCAGGGTGTAACAGTTGATTTTTTGTTTCACATATGTTGATCCTTGTGCACTCAGCGGGGCAATATTTTGCTGCTCAAAGAAATAGTAATGACGTGATGTGCTGCTAGGTATGAAGGATTGGTGTACAGTTTTTGCTGTAATGCAAAGTGAAGCATATATTTGCATAGTTGTTTATATATGTTTGTTTACATTTCTTGAAATCTAAAGCAAACGGGGGAGTTTCTGATATCTTATCAAGTGTGACAAGTACGAAAATCGCAAGATCCTCTATTCTGGTCATGGCATGATACGAACCCACCAGAAGATGGAAGAAGGAGGTCGATATAATTCCGATGAACTTGGAGCCCTTTTCTTTTCCCCTTTTTAAACCTGGCCTGGAATTAGAGATGCTTGACAGATACGCCATCGGCCCATCAATGTTGACCATCTTGTTCTTCCTTTTTTATAAGAAGACATTTTATGCTGGAAGAGACAAGATAGGGTTTGTGTTGGGGGGACGGTATAGAAAAAGATGGTTTTATTCTACCACTGATATATATATATTGAAAATTAGGGTCAATTTAATAGGCAAACAGACACTTCAATCAGTCACGTCAATTATTCATGATATTAGACTATACTGTTTTTTATTTAAAAATATATTAAAATAATATTTTTTTCTTTAAAAATTATTTTTAGCATCAAAATAATTTAAAAATATAAATTAAAAAAAATTAAATTTTAAAAAAACACACGTATGCTTATTATAGTTCACAGGTTTGTTTTCGATGTTACTCTTATTGGTTCCCAGATATTTCCAATCTGACTTTAATAGAGTTTTTTCGAGAGAGATATGTATACAGAGAGGGGGAGAGTTTGGAAACAACGAGATCTCATCCAATCCATCCTCTCATGTTCCCCTGTGGTGTCACAAAGTTTCAATTATACCATTTATTGATAAATAATTATGGTAACAAAGGGTTCACCCTATTCATGATTTTATTAATTTTTTCCCTCTGATATATATTAATTAATTAACAAAATTAAAAGGGCTCAGTCATATCAAGACACATACCAGTATAATTTTGAATGCACTTCCCAAACAAAATTAATCAACTAGCTATTAACACTAATATGTTGCTTTTCATGGGTACATGGAAAAAAAAAATTAAATTGAAGTTTAAGGGTTCTTTTTTTTTGTTTTTTATTTAAAAAATAATAAAATAACTAAATTATCCTTCAAACAAAAATAACTAAATTCAGGGACCTTTTCATATTTTCATCCTTTTTTTTTTTGTTCAAATCAAGTTAACAAAGATGATTTTTTATATATATTTTCATTCTATTTGTTTTTTTTGTTAGAATTAAATTAATTAAGAGGCAATTTAATAACTTGATAAATATAAATATTATTTAAGAAAACATGGTTGACTCTTGCATTACTAGCATCAACGTAAAAATTATAATCTTGTTATTTAGACAACACATGAGGGGCTTTCAACAACTAAATAATGGCTTTCAGAGATCGTTTGAATCATCTTGACGGCTCCTCCATCCTTAACAGGAGCATGTGGCAAATGAAGCTACAGTTTGGCGCTAATAACTTCTTCTTTTTTCATTTTTCTTTTTTTATTGATTTTTGCTTCTAACCATTCAAATTTTCAAAACAACTCATCACCTTGTTCTTCTTTTATTTTTTGTTCTTGTTTTTTGTTACAGTTTGTTTTTTTAATAATTTATAAAACTTGAAATTTTTTTTATTTTATCCTTTTTTTAATTTTTTTCATTTATCATATTTAGTTTCAATTTTTTTTAATTGCTATTTGTTTTAGTTGAGATAATTTTTAGAATTGAATTTTTTTTATGACTACATTCTTCTTTAGTCTTTTTTTTCCTATTAAATTTAATCCATATTCTTTTGATTGCTATTTTTTGTCCCTTGGTAATTTTTTTTATTTTTTTCCTGATTTCATCTTCTTATGAATTGAGCTTCTTGATTAAGTCTAGTCTAGAATTTCACAAATTACAAGTTTGGAAAATTAACCTAAGTTAAGAAGATTTGCTTAAATTTTCTTGTTTTTTTTTTAAGTTTTTTTTTTAATTTTATTGTTCAATATTTATTTAATTGGAGATTGAGCTTCGTTATTGGTTTTTTATTTTTTTCTATAGGATTCTTTGTTAATTTTAACAATGACTTGAACTATATTGGGTTTTTTTATTTGTTATTTTTTCTTTTTTTTAAGCTATTGTTATTTGTTTTTAAATTAAATTAAATTAATTGATTAAGGATAAATATGAGATATTCACTTCATAATATTTTATTTGGTTTGCTTTCTAGGTTATTTCTCCTACGGCACGTGAAGTCTTTTTTTAGTGTCATCATACATCTTTTTGTAGTTATGTTAAAACCATCTCAATGAGTTTTTTCTAGTGGTAAGGCAGTGTCCATAATAGAGCGTTGTGAGTTTCCAACATGTTTTTTTTATCTTCTCCTTCGAGTATGGTATTGATAACTTATTTTTTTATATTTAAATGTTGTTGATTATTTTTCTTTATATATTATCGAGGCCTTTTTATAATCATATTATCAAATTAATCAAACTTCTTTAACTTAGTTAAGTTAATGATTTGGATCTTTGATTTTTCTAGATGGTTTTAAAATGTTGGCATCGCTTGAACATTTGTTTTTTAAGTTAGGAAAATTTGAACTAGTAACCAGCATAGCATAGATTACCAATCTAGTACATACTAAAATGACTTGGGTTTTCACCGTAGCAATGAATAGTAATTTTTTTTTAAAAAATTGTTATTGTTCACAAACTTCTTTTCTTATTATTATTATTATTATTATTATAATCTTTTACGCCAACTTGATGGCAAAATTATCAAAACTTGTTAAGGACATATAAATTCAATGATAGGGACCAAAGTGTTAAACATGAAAAAAACTTATGGTCAATCTAGAATTTTGGATGGAATATTCATTTTAATCTTCCTATTTTCAAATTTCAACTTTTACGGTCATTGTAATTTTCATAATTTTTAATCTTTAAATATAAGAGAAACGAAAGAAAATCATCGGATTTCAACAAGAATGGAGAAAATTATTGGTTGAGGTTAATTCCAACCACTAAAAAGCTTAAATTTGGTATCCACAAGTTCCATTCAATTAGAAGAGTTAATGATAATTGTTTTGAAACTTAATATTGTCTAAAATATATATCAAGGCTGAGAAATAAAAATTTAACTTGGTTTGATTTTAAGTTTTTTAAATTGATAAATTAGTTTTTTCATGTTTTAAAAATGTTTCTTAGATTTTATTTTTTTAGATTCAAATGAGTTGAAAAAATAGGTTTTAAAATAGAAAATGCTACCTTAATTTTCAGCCCACCGTAATGCTAGTTAGAATTTTAGTAAACAAATAACATGTTGCTTGTCTTGTTTTTTTTCTTAAAAAAATGATAAGGGATCAAAATATTAAACATAGAGAATATTTATGACCAATATAGAATTTTGAATAAAATATTCATTTTAAGCCTCTTACTTTTAAATTTCAAACACAATCACCATCAATTTGTAATTATATAAAATTCAATTATAGTCTAATTTTTATTTTATTTTTAAGTCCTTGAATTTGAAAGAGGAGAAAAAAATTTATTGAATTCTAGTAAGAAAAGAAAAGGTTATTAGTTGTAGTCGATTCCAACCACTAAATTTGTAAAACTTGGTAGTTATAAGTTCTATTCAATGAAAAATATTTAATGGAAGTTGTTTTGAACTTTAATATTGTCTAAAAAGTATATCAAGGCCAAGAAATAAAATTTTTGATAAATTGGTTTTTTTATATTTTAAGAATGTTTATTAGAGATCTTTTTTCTCCAAATGGGTTGAAAAGTGAATTTCAAGGGGAAAACAAACATTTTTTGATTTTCAGGACACTATAATAATAGCTGAAATCTAGATAGATAAATAATACATCATTTGTTTCCGTCGATAATATGTTCTCTGTTTTATGTTTTTTTTAAAGGGAGACATAACTTGTCCTCTTACAAAAAAAAAAGGCTAAAAAAGGCCTATTTGCATGAGCTTGTTTTTAATGCTTAGGTGAGATGAGCCATTGCCAAACTTGCATGCTTGATCTTGTTTGTTTTTTTTTAATTAGTTATTTATTTTTTTAAATTTTTAGATAAAAAATAAAATTTTAAAAACAAATTTATTTATTCTAGTGAAATCTAAGATCTGGATTGCAGATTTAGTTAGTCAATTTTTTATATAAAAAAGATGTTATCTCAGTTTTTTTTTTCTATTTTTATCATATATTTAGGTTGCAAAATTTAAATTTAATTTAATATATTATCATCTTAATAAATTTTATAAAAAGATACTACATTGAATTTTGTTTTAAAGCATTTGGTATGTTTTAAATTAGTATTTGTGATATATTTTATTTTGATTTATTATTATTTGTTTTTTCAAATATCTTTAGTCATTATGATTTTTTTTTAAATTCAAACTAAATTTTTATTTTTTTATATTAAAAAATTAATACAACCCACTAAATAGTGTAAATACTTATATAACAAACATAAAAAAATAATTTATTATTCTTTTGATCTTCAAATCAATTAAAATAAAAATATAAAGAAAATTAAAAGTTAAAATGTCAAAACTTCGAGTACACTTTATTCATGGTATCATGGTTAAATTATATTTTTGTTAAAATTTTTTTATTTAATTATTTTGTTGAATATTTTTAGATTATTTTGATATTTAATATTAAAAATATTTTTTTAAATAAAAATATATTTTTTAATATATTTTTAAATAAAACACTATTTTAAAAGTTAAATAAATAATAATTTTTTTTTATGCCAAGCCCGCCTTCTCGAGCATGACTGTATGAGTCTGAGTCCAGCCTTCCCTGGTCTTTCACTTTTTTTTCCCTTCTTTTCCAGCAGCAGAGTTCAAAGCAACGCGAACAAACAGGGGATCCAATTTCCAAAAGGAATTGAGTTGAGATATGGCCGCGGCGAGTTGTGCTGTCTGGGACTCGGTACTTGAACTCACCAAGTCAGCTCAGGTCAAGAACTGCGACCCGCAACTATGGGCGATCCAACTCAGCTCCAATCTCAACTCTGCTGGCGTTGATGTGCCCTCAGTGGAGCTGGCTCACCTATTAGTCTCTCATATCTGCTTCGATAATCACATGCCCATCACGTGGAAGTTCCTCGAGAAGGCCCTCTCCTTCAACCTCGTCCCTCCTTTGCTCGTCCTCGCTCTCCTCTCTAAAAGGCAGGCCATCACCTTCATTGATATTATCTCAATTTTATGCCAAAAAGGTTTATTTAATTTAATTTAATTTTAATTTTATTTATTTACAGGGTTGTTCCGAATCGACAGCTCCACCCGTCTGCATATAGGCTGTATATGGAACTCGTAAAGAGACACGCCTTTTCCTTTTCAGCTCTAATCGCTGCCCCAAATTATCAATTGTGAGTTTTTTGGATTTCTATGAAGAACGACATTGGCCTGATTTTCCGTTACTTGTTTCTGCTAATTAATTGTATGATTTTGCAAACGCTGACCTTTTTCTTTAAAACTTGGTATTGTTGATTGGAATAGGCGGATATAGCAAGTCTTAAATTTTCTAGTTATGCATGGTGGCTTCTTTTCTTTTTTTTGGATAAAACAAAAATGTAATGTTGAAAGAGAGACGATGACGAGACGGAATAATAGGAGATTTAGTAATGGTAGGCGCCGTTGTTGGATCATCACCACTATGCGTGGTTTTATCTCTCATTTGGGTTAAAATATGGAAAATGGGAATGAGAATTGTTTCTAAGCCATTCTCTTTCACAAGGAGTTGGCTGACTTGGGTGATTGCTGTGGGCAGTGGTAGTTTCATTCAATCTCTGTAGCCTTTGCACAGATGTCGCAAGCGTGTTTTCACCTTCTTCATGACCATTATAAGGCTGCAACTCAAAGAACTAACTGCAGTTTTAAGCTGAAAAATACTGTTGCTCGTTTTTTACACCAAACTTATGTACACGTGTCGCTTTGTGGATGTAGCTCTCAAAATTGTAACATAATGCAATGATGTAAACATTTAGGATGCTATACAGAAACAATTTTGTAGAAAATTGTAGTATTGGGATTTTTCTGTGCTTATGTTGTTAAACAGATGCTTCATTAATGTTTACTCTTGGATCCAGACTTTGAATGCATTCAATTTGGATACTCTTAGGTCCTAGCAATCCTGCCAATTGTGATGGCCTCATCTATGGAATTTAGAAGTTGTCTTTTTTATTTTTTCTCTGACAGAATCTGCATAAATAACTTTTGTAATAAATAATCTTTCTTTGCATGCTTAAGGACTAACAAAAATCCTGAAAGACAATCTGAATCCTGCCATTTTTTTTTGGTATACTCTTAAACTTCAATTATAGATATTAACATCTTTTAGTTGCAATTACAGGATCATGAAATCAATAGGTGATGTTGCTCATCTTTCCCAAATATTTGGCGTGCAATTGTGTGAACCTGGCTTTCTTCTGGTTGAATTTGTCTTTTCAATCGTGTGGCAGTTACTTGATGCTTCCTTGGATGATGAAGGGTTGCTGGAACTAGGTGCAGAAAAGAATTCTAGATGGCTACCCAGACCGGAGGGTATGGAAATAGATGGTCATGAGAACTTTAGTGAGAAGAGAAATGAGCACCACGAGGGGTTGCACAAAGTAAATACTACAATGGCTATCGAGCTAATTGGAGAGTTTCTAAAAAACAAATTAACCTCGAGGCTACTTTACTTGGCACGTCAAAACATGTAAGATATATATATTGTCATGATTAGTTTTACTTATGTTTTATAAAAAGTGGGGAACAAGCCATTAAATTAGGCCATGCTCAACCTAAATAATGCCTAACCTGGCATGGTCTTCTGAACTTTTCTTTAGGGTGGTTACTACTAGATATTGGAGAAATTTAATGAATGAAACCCAATTAATAAAGATGTTCTCTTATCCTTTTAGGCCTTCACACTGGAGAGGCTTCATCGAGCAATTGCAACTGCTTGTTGTGCATTCTGCAGCTTTGAGGAACTCAAAACACATAACTCCAGATGCTTTTCTGCAGTTGACATCTGACACCCGAAGGGTTTTGTCTTGTGAGTGCAAAACAATATCACAACATGAGTTTCATGCAGTCATGTTTTCAGGGTCTCTCAAATCTTCTGTTGGTCAATGCCACGGGGCAAGTCAGTCTGCAGTTTGGTTACCTATTGATCTATTTCTAGAAGACACTATGGATGGGTCACAAGTGACGACAACTAGTGCTATAGAAAATCTTATCAGTATGATTCATCTCTTGTTTTATGCCGAAATCTTTTACAAACCTATAGAGTAGGAATGTAGGTGATAAATTAAAATTTATTGTTCCAATTTTATGTTGCAGGTTTGGTCAAAGCTCTGCAAGCAGTTAATCGCACCACTTGGCATGATACTTTTCTAGGCTTATGGATTGCAGCTTTACGGCTAGTTCAAAGGGTGGGTACTTGTTCTGATTTGATAAAAAATCTATGGGTGTCATGTGGAAATTTTTTCAGTTTTCTAGAAAACGTTTTAGTGAATAAAAGAAGTGGAGAAAATGAATAAATTTAAAATAAAAATATTTTCCTTGGATAAGTGTGTTTTCTATTTTTAAGTTTTCTTAAAAGCAAGTGCTTCTCCATATTTTCTACTTTGCCAAAAAAAAAAAAAAAGTGGCCATGTTTTGGTCACCTGTTTCTTATTTGATCTCTGGTTATTTTAAAGACAAGCTAAGCAATATCTTCCTTTCCTGTTTCAGAAAACTAGTAGTTAGTAAACTTCCTTTTTTTTTCCCATGGTCGTAAGAAGGAACTAAACATCAAGTTGAGAACTACAAAAAAATTCTGAAAGTAAACTCACCCTTATATTTTTATGAGCTTGAAATGTTGGGTAGAAAACATTTAAGAATGGAGAGGAAACAGAATATTGTAAAGGAAGAGAAGAAAAATTAAGGGAGGATGGGTGGAACAGGGAGGAAAAAAAGAACTATAGAAGGGAGTTACAACTATAAATTTAATTTAACAACAATGGACTGACTTGATATGGATGATAGGTGTTTTGTCTATCTTAAATAAATGAATATGAATACAAAAGAATATAAAGATGCTCTATTATTTTACTTTTGAATAGAAATTTATATATCATCATTCAAGTGTAGTTGGAGAAAACTTGGTCTTGTGCTTTGTAATGGTTAAGTATAAAATTTCTTGAATTAGTTTTCCATTGTGTTCTCATGTTTTGGTCATCTTTCTCCTTCCAACTCATGTTGTCTTCAACACTCTTT